AGTAAACCGTTCGAATTGTGCTGTGTTAATTTTGAGTGTCTGTCGTTTTATGCCATGTTGGCACCATTTAATCCAACAGTCATAATAAACAAATAATATTCTACAGATATGGTATCCACGTGTAGAATCAAACCTCTGAAATTTCACATTGCCCATTGGGCTAACCCAATGTTCATAGTAACACGTGCATATTCACTTCTCACCTGTCACGTACACATGAACAGGGCAATGAAAAGTGTCCTTTCATCGAATGTTTAATAAATACTTTCAATACAATAATTACAACCTCTTTTCAATCAGAGTGACCTATATTTGGCATGGAACCTTATTCTGATCATTCCGTTCTGAGAACTAAAAGTGATTATCTCAATGATTAAACCACTCATGAAACCTTTAATTATTGACAGTAGAATCAGGAGACGTACCAGACACCTCACGTCACGCCACAAACTTACTGCAACATCAGGTTGTATCAGCGATCTGGCGGAGTACTGAAGCTATCCGTGTCAGCACTGACGGCGACTTGAAGCACCGAGTGACGGTGTGATCAGAGAGTTTACCGTTTGACTGATATCACACTAACTGTCTGACGTGATCCGGATGATGGGCCCCATGCAGTCGATAGTCTTTAGAATGGACAGACATGGCACGGGTCCTCTTATTATGGCGGTCAAAGGCGATTGTGAAGAATTGGTACGGAAGGATTATTTCTTGTAATTTAAAAGAAACATTGCCTAGTCACCGAATTACTGGAGAAACGAAGGTCGGGGAAATAGATTTCTTGTTGGTTTTATGTGAGGGAAAGTTGACACGTTTATGTAAGGTGAATAGGAACTGAAGGTAGGGGAAATTATTTATGTATGCTTAACAATGTGGTTCAATAAAAAAATTATGGTGGTGTCAAGACGGGATGGAGGTAGGTTGGGTTGAAATATCACTTAAAATTTAAAACATTTAACGGTTTGAGGTTTTATATGTCACATTAATTTCTGTATATATATTCGATTTGCATCCTGACCAGGCTTTTTGTGATTACGATCAAAGGTATACTGGTTAACTCGAACACTGTTGACTCGATATACGGCTGACGTCGAAATTGCCTTACTGTCGAAGCAGAATACGTAGAGATGGCATCATTCCGATCAACTTCGTATACCCCATCTCGTATGATTAAGTAGGATAACGAATGATAATTAGTCTATGATTCTCCAGAGAAGTGACTTGAGATGTGGTGGCCAGGCGCGGGCCAGAAACATTGTTTCTAGGGTATCGTGTATCGTTGTTCGTAGTAACCCAGACTCTGAAAGGCCGACTGCATACAGTGTTAGTTTTCCTAACAATCAAACCAATATTTTTTTCATAAATATATGAGACTGTATTTCAGGTATGTCATCCTGACCACGATGGTCAGACGAATGACCTGTGGTAACTCATAATCTTGTCAAAACTATTTCCTGATTGAGATCAATATCCTGCAAAGAGAATAAACCCCATCGTAGTTGTAACACCTTAAAACTATACATTTTGCTAACGTTAAGACATCCATTTGTTAACAAGTGTGGAACGTGAGTTGACAGTGTTCATCACGGTGACCTCAAGGTCAAAGGAGGTCAAGTTTACCGCTGACCGCCAGACTGGAACTGACGTTTACAGCACAGAAGTTTATGGGAGCGATTATAAGTTTTGTTAGCCTATATCACTAATAGTGCTCTCACGATGGATATGTCCCTAGGTAGCTCTTAAGTGCACGGTGGAAGTGCAGCATCTTATTGTATTACGGCGAAAGATCAAAGCTACTCAACGTGGCAGTAATTGCTAACAAGATCAATAAGGGCTACGAATGAAGTCATTATCTGACCGACATACTCCCTTCCTTACAACATCGTTAACCTATGCGAACACTTATCGGTAGCCTTGTGGTAAAAGTGTCGGCTCATCACGCAGAAGGCTCGGGTTCGAATCGCCATGTTGTTACAATGTGTGATGCCCATTTCAAGGCTTCATATATCACTCCAAGCGGCCATAAACCTCACTCAATCACTGTCGGTTTTTGTGAGTGAGTGAATTAAGATTTTTAGCGAGATTCATATCCATATCATGACAAAAACAAGTTATACATTCATGGCACATTAAGTCAGAATATTTAAACCAGTGGACGAAAGACGGTACAAACAACTAGAATATCACATGCATAGATGTACATGTTTATCTAAAACTATAGATAATACAACAAATAACAGATTATAGATCGTCAAGAAGAAGGTACATCACCATACTAAGGACCATGGGGACTTACGGAACCCTTGCTTCCTGCGTGGACCCAAGCTGGATTTACACTTCAGTCACTGATCTATTTCCAAAACATATTCATCAAAATGTTTCGAACAATTCTAATTCTTTTAAGAAATCAACAATAAAATGAAAACTGACATAATTATTAATATCCCTGACTGTTTTTACATTTAAATATATATCTCTTGTAATGTGAAAATCGACACGGTTTGTGAAAAGTGGTTGACAGGACACAAAATCGCTGTAGAGAGTTGAGTCTGTCAACCATGTGGGTACCTATTGTGGTGGAGTAAGCTTCTACATTTCTACATTTCGCTGCTGACGGTGTTGTCTGCCGTCAGCGAATACGGCGTCAGTTTTAATATGAAACATAAAGGCATGGTCCTTGTTCCACGCATCTGAAACATTAGACTAGATGCGATCATTGTAGTGCAAAGATTACGAAACTGGGACAGAGGTTTCTGTTACATGAAGTATTTCGTGCCTGAAGCCTTAACAACTATCACCTGACGAGGGACAACGAGGGGAAGCTTGTCAGTACGAATATTTACGAAGCCCTAACGCACATGCAGCCATATTGCTTTAAGCCTATACTTGAAAAAAATATGAAAAGAGTAAAAGAACATTATTAATTTTCTAGTTGTCGGGATGTCAATAGTCGACATCGTATTTTTATCAAGGGTAATACAGTTCCGAGGCATTATTCCGTCTAATAAATGTCAGGCATGCCTCTCCTCAACAACAGCAAGGGATAATGCTTTCTCTCACTAGCGGTATGTATTGATCTTAAACTCCTCCCTTAAGCCTATCATTCCGATGCTAGTGAACGACTCAAGCTTTTTTGTCCATCCAGATAATTTTCACACAGTATCACAGTGGAAATCGCACGGAATGCGTGGGCGGGGGTAGTTTTGGAAAGATGGATAGGGAGGGTCCACAACGCCCTCAAACTTTTGTGAATCAGCATCGAACCGGGGTACCAAGAACATGGAGGTTAGTCACAGGCGGCGGGATTAAGTGTCATTGGTGCAGTGGCATTATCCCCGCTCTTCCTACTTCCGTTGGTCAGCTGATCAGCTGTTGGGTATTGATTTCATAGGAATATTATAAGAGATGGACGTCTTAGGTGGCACAGTAGTTATCGAGACGAAAACAAGGATGCTATTGTCAAGGCTGTCTGTTCAGAGTGAGTACACCGTTGGGAAAGTGTGTGGTCTGATTGTATCGAGCTGGCAACATTATTCCATAGTTATACCTCTTGTGAACAAGCTGCTCATTGTCACCGTTATATGATTCTGTTTGATAGCACGTGATCATGATTTACAGATTATCGATTCATTTTGAAGTTCCCCAGTGTCAACCTTGTGATATGTTTCAGGCCTTTGATGTCGATAGTTAAGATCTCTGACGTTCACGTCTAAAAGTTCATGTAGTCATTTGTTCTATGTTAGAGGGAAGCACTGGTAGTTCCAAAGAAACGCTCTCTGGATTCAGTGGCTGCTGGTTTAAATCCCAAATTCAGCTGCCTGTCGAAGCTGTTATACGTCCACGGTCAATACTGCACGGGTAGAGCCAAACATTAAAAACATCTGTCATCAGATCACATATGAATTGTTATAAGCGGGGGGAAATATCTGAGTCTCTCTCAGTTAAAAAAAAACAGTGGTGGATACAACGTGGTCAGTGGGCGTAAACTGCACAATTTGTACAGCTTTACTAAAATCTAAACCCTTATTCTCGTGTTGTGTTTAACCATTTGGTACATGTATGTATAAGCATGTAAGATGCTGATAATGTATAAAATCTTTGGTTTATACAGGTGATGATTTATGTGTTTTACGTTTGTTAAAATCCTACCAAACAGTGTACCTTGGTTTGTTAACGTCAAAGTTCTTCATCAAACCCTCAAACTTCTCAAACACGTCATTGTATTCTGATATCAAGCTTACCCGCCTTAATATTATCTGGACCAGCTGAGATAAACGTAACTCACTCAGTCTTTCTGAAGTTGGTTTACAATATAAAAGACTTATGTTCTGAATATTCCACAACAATTTATCATCGTACCAGTACGAAAACGGAACTGCCGAAGACCACACGAAACCGTAAATAGTAATAACGTATTCTGACAAAATTCTAATAAAACGTGATTAGAAGATCCCCACGTGAGTCAATGGCGTGTTTCCGGTCATTTGACATAGAACGTTTAGGAAGTGTAAATCAGCCGTCTGGTGTATTGACGCCAACACAATTCTGGTTTTACAAATAGCGGTAATTCATTGACCATAGTGTTACTGTCCATTTCAGTGAGGAACGCGTGTACTCATTCCTTCCACGACAAATAAGGAAACTCGCGGAATCGCCTGACGAGCCCATCTCGCCCACGCCCGACCAAAGGTTTAGAATTGTAGTAACGTAGACACGACAAATGGTTCATGCCCATCATGTCATATACACCAGTGATCACATTGATGAATTTTCATAGCATTAACATGGCTGTAAATCCCATTAGGTCTTGTCCGTGTCACAGACTCCCGTCCCCAGCTTCCAGGAAGAATTCCATGTTGTATAAGACATTGAATCAAGATATGTCTACTAACATTCCATTATCGTTTCTTTCAGAGCACGTATTGAAGTTGAGATACTCTGACAGTTTTCCGCGAGCGGGTCTTGTCTACAAAGCCACTTGAGACGCCAGGGATTCCTGTTTATAGATAAACGTACTACGTCCTTATATGGAAAGTCTGGAACAGCTGGGAATCACTGTGTAGGCTTCCACTGTGGCTGTGATGTCATCGGGTGTGCTGTTTTATGGACTACATGCACTGATGTGCTAGATGCTCACTGCGATGTGGAACACAGAGAAAGTATGACGCTTGATAATATGTCGCAGGAGACAATTCTGGTGGAGGTGCCAGAGTCTACCTCCGACTTGAACGACACCGGCAACAGCGACAACAGTGACTTCCTTAGCCACGCTATCACTAATGTTCTCATCACCATCTTCGCTTGCATCATCATCCTCGCAACCGTCATCGGTAACCTCATGGTTATTGCTGCCGTTCTTGTAGAGCGACGACTACGTAAGGTGGGGAACACCTTTATCATTAACCTTGCTTTGAGTGACATCCTCGTTGGAACGCTTGTCACCCCTATGGCGTTGGCATACCAGTTGATCGGGGAGTGGAAGTTTGGACGCCCATTTTGTGATTTCTGGATCTCCATGGATGTCATATGTTGTACGGCAAGTATTGCTAACTTGTGTGTAATCAGTTACGACCGATTTAATGCTATCACCCAGCCACTGAGATACGCCCGAAAGAGGACTTTCAAGAGGGCGATGATATCGACACTGTCAGTTTGGGGATATTCTGTGTTGATTGCTGTGCCCCCATTTCTAGGGTGGCGGGAGACCATTGATGACACGCATATGAGCGAGTGCCAAATCTCTCAAGATAAGGGATACACCCTATATTCTACCATCGGTGCCTTCTATCTGCCATTGCTCTTCATGCTGTTTTCTTATATACGGATATACAGGGTAACGAGTAGAAGGACTCGACAATGGCGGAGAGGCCCTGGATCCAGTAAAATGATAACGGAACGTCATAGTGACCAGGAGGCTGCGAATTTCAAACTTTTAAGTCTGAAAAATTCAAATGAGGTATGTCCCACTGCCACCAACGCTGAACAAACTGTTCAAGAAAAAAGTAGCTCAACCCCGGAATCACAGGTGCCTCCCCTCCCAACGTATGGGACGTATGGACAAACAGATGCTAGTGAAATACCCTGCCCCCCACGGCCCCCTTTCTCAGGCCCTCCCACCAGCTCCTCCCGCCCTCCTCGCTCAGCCTTCCCAAAGAAGTTGATACGTCAGATTTCAAACCTCCCGAGCAGTGACAGCAGTACAACTACTTCAACATCAACGACTGCGAGCTCAGAGACAACAGCGGACAGTTTTCTCGATAAAAGAGCTTCTATAAAAACTGCAATCCTACTGGAAAGAAAAGACTCAATGTTCAAGGTCTTCCAAGATTCTAACCCGAACTACAGAAAGAGTGTGACGTTCCTGATGCCGGCTCCAGTCCCAGCTGATGGCAGCAGTGAAGAGAAAGATGTTTCTGTCGACGAAGTCTCTCGGTACACAGTCCACATTAACAAAGACAACCGTCGTAAGAAAAAGAAAATTTCTGTGTCTCAAGAAAAACGAGCTGCAAAAACACTTAGTATTGTGATGGGGTGTTTCATCATCTGTTGGCTTCCATTCTTCCTAGTGGCCCTGATCGAACCTTTGTGTACTGATTGTGAACTCCATCCTTCTTTGGTGGGAGTTGTCCTCTGGATGGGATACTGTAACTCGGCTCTCAATCCTATCATATACACATTCTTCAATAAAGACTTCCGGTACGCTTTCAAAAAGATGATAACTTGCGGCCAAAAGAAAACGGCTACACTGTTGTAAACTCCAAGCTTCTGTTCCAGAGGATCTTACTGATGCTGGTCTGCTGTTCTGGATGTGACATTTCCACAAGGCAAATAGATGCTCCCTCGACAGTGTGTGCCATGGCCATTTGTGTTGTGTTGTTAAATCACATGGATTAATGTAAATCATTATCAAGGTCACGAAAGGAGACAATGATAACGCTGACCTCTGAGGAAGAGAACTCTCAAGCCTCCAATCCCTACATGTACATTGGTCCTCTGTGTTTTATGTATACTTGGAATACGGGTGTTAGCGAAGCTCGGTGACGAGGAGTGATCTGATCTCAAAAGGCTGTGATTTTGATGGACTGCTGTTGATTTATGTATTTGTAACAAAACGATTGATAGAGAAAACTTTGTACACAATTTATCTTTATCATTAACTGATATATTCCAATTGACTGTTGCCAACTAGGACATCTACTCGGTATATTCATGCTTGTAACGCTTGAAACGCTGATAATGCTTGTCATGAAAACTTGCTAAAATTGTATAAATCTTCAGCTCGAAACGTTTTTCGATGTCTGCAGTTCTTCCGCGTATTTGGCTTGTTTAATATATTGGTCTGATATACATGCATGGTATTTTTTTCCATTATGGGGACATTACAGTATCGAGTTAATGACTGAAAGAACGTAAACATCCCTATGGCACTGAGAATTTAAGCCAGGGAAATATTTCAAAAATTATTTCTTCCTTAGAGTATATCTTCATCTTTCATAACTATTCCAGCCATTACTAGCATGGATGTATCAGAGATGAAGACATGTACCAATGTATGGAACAGGGTCGTTTTTGTACTGACCTGGAAATGCTACTGCAAATATTGTACGAATGTCTATACATCACATTGTTAATCTGGTCCATAAATACACCACTAAGTCTTGTCAAGTTACTACACAGCGTCTAATTAGCATCCAAGCTGAATTTAGATACTGATACTGATCTTGGAAGTTTTACTACAACTTTTCGGTGTAAGATGCGTTCGGTCCGCAGGTACGGGGCTGCTTGTTACGAATCTGTCTGTCAAGGATCTGTTAGTTACGAATCTGTCTGTCACGGATCTGTTAGTTACGAATCTGTCTGTTACGCATCTGCTTCACTGAACCGTTTGCTGCAGATCTGTGAATCACAGATCAGACAGTTACGGATCTGTGGGTCTGTGAATCACAGATCAGACAGTTACGGATCTGTGGGTCTGTGAATCACAGATCAGACAGTTACGGATCTGTCGGTCACAGATGTGTTTGTTAAGAATCTGTCGCTCACAGATTTGTTTGTTACGAATCTACCGGTCACAGATCTGTTTGTTACGAATCTGTCTCTCACAGATTTCATTGTTACGAATCTGTCGCTCACAGATCAGATAGTTACGCTTGATCACGGTACTATGGGTTTCCATGCCTGTCTGCTAATAATCTCTGCATCACGAATCTATTTGTCACGAATCTATTTCCAGAAGAGGTCCGTTGAGTTCAAATAAATACATCAATTCGCATTTGATCATATACATAAATTTGTTGTAATAAGAAGAGTGTTTCATTAAAAGATCCATTAATTTATTAAATCTTGAAATGTGATGCGCGAAATCATCGATTGTTCTCACGTCAATGTCACAAAGAACGGCTCCATGAGAAATTGAATCCTAATTCCATTCAGACATGTCTATATAAAGAGATTTCACACTCAAGCTTGAATGGAGAATATATGTGAAATGTTACCTGATTTCGTGACACAGAACAACTGACAAGAGATTATGTCTGTAAGGGGGCGTCACCCACAAAGTTGTCCACATTTGAAACATATATAACGTCAGCTCAAGAAACAATTACACCTCAGCAGCATAAGCTTCAATTCCAGTGTTAGGAGCACTGTATGTGGTTAATGTGTCGGATAGGGTGAACTGACAACATGTTAAGCTACAAATAGGATTATGGTGTTTTAAGGATGTAAATCATGAGAGCGGTATTGACCCCTTAAGGGCAAGAATTCAGGGAGTGTAAGGGTGATGACACAGCGTCGGTAGTGATCAATACGTTTTACATTTAGATTGCTCTGTGTCCGTGTAAGTTAACGCTATGTCTGTTATAGGGTTAAGATACAACATTATATGTGTGATGTAACAAGATAGCAACAATGCCACAAAATCGAGTGCACATTGAGCAGTTGACCTGGGTAATAATACGATTTGAGCATGATATCTAGCATGAATAAACGTCAAACAAATCCATCAAGATGATGATGATGATGATGATATTTATCATCATCATCGGTCTACTACCATCTATCTAGGAACTAGATATACAATAGACAATACACTGGTCTGTTCTTAAAACCTGAGAAGTTTTTAAAAATACTTTGAACTATTACTATTCATGATTCAGTTTTTAAAACCATCCCTTGCAACAATAGCGGACCCTCTACTTTCTCCTGACTCTTACCGCCGTGATGTTGCTGGAATATTGCTAAAAGCGGCGTAAAACCAAACTCAGTCAGTCTTGACTCTTAGGTTCTGTACTTAACGGTATCTGTCTGCCACACCCGATGCCGCTCCCCTGTCGTGTAGACGTATAACCCCATACACTGAAGAATTAATCACGTGATTATGGCTGTGTGGGGGCGTATTGAAGGCGTGAGACTATCCAAATAGGGAATTTGGTCTCCGGTGAATCTAAGCTCGATACGAACATTTCTGTATCGATTAACACGCCTTAACTATTGTCTTTACACATGGAAACCGAGCAGTGCGTTACTTCAATATTTTGAGTTTGGTTTGTCAGTAATTCAGTATCCTGAATCTACAGAGCTATCAATTACACGTTCAGGTATTGGAAAAGGACTGCTTTGAATCTCTGATAGATGCTAAAAGGTCAAATTGTTTCGGTTGTCCACGTTTCCTAAAGATTCAATCCCACAAGAAATATAAAGTTAGTATTTCCAAGGATAACTATCCAAGTTATTGAAACGAGGCAATTTGGTCTGCTGGTTCAGAAGACAAAGGCTTTACAATAAGATGAAAATTATCATATGTTTTTCAAAAGGAATTTAAGGATTAGATGTACGTTATGTGTGAAACAAGGCGTAGTTGTGCCCTAAAACAAGCAATAGGTCCAGTTTATGATAGGTCAGATAATGTAATGGTTCTTTAGGGCTCGTTAGGCCCTGACTCAGGATTGAATGATGATGTATACTGCCGACATTGCGTGGAATTATATTTCATAACAATTCCAATTAAGGGACAGGTGCTTCATTTTCTAATACATCTTGAAAAGTACATCACTTCACATTTTCTCATTTACTAATGCTGCTTAAATGCATGTTAACTGGAACTAATATTTCGATTTAGTTTTAGCATTAACACAATCCCTCTCGCGCAAAGACAATGTTGGCTGAAATGCACTGATAGCTATAATGACATTACTGAATAACATAAATTATTTTTAAATTATTCCAGGGTGTCATCTTTATTTGTCATGTTGTCAATGTTCCATCCCATTAAATGGGTCTCTTTAAGATTAGGTGCTGTTAGTGAATATAAACATGTTCTCAAGGGTCAAATCCCAGTTTGCCCTGAGTATGTTTCAAGTTTTCCAGCACATAACCGTCTCGTGGGGTTAAGCAAAGTGGTAAACGTTTAAGACTTGCATTACTTCGGGCTTTCCTCACACACTAAAACAGACCGCCGTGATATAACGGGACTACTGTACAAGGCGATTACTGTACTGTACAAGGTGATTAAGTCGCGTTGTGTTAACAACAGAACCAGTGCCGCTTGTAAATAGATAAACATACACAAATTCTGATAAATAACATCAGTTAGGCTACTCTCCTGACAACCATTTAACTATCATTCCCTCATGAGCATATATATGCCCTGAAATACCGGGACACCTCGTTATCCCGAAGTTATGAAATATATCGTGTATCATAGTTCGAGACACCCAATGTCACGAAGGTTTCTGCCTACAAACATTGATATGATTTAAAATTAAACTTTAACACTATATGTATCATGTATTCACGAGATCAATCAAAAACAATAAAATCTGCTGGGCATTAATATACGTTACCGTTTTAAAGATGTAAACATCCCACGGTACTTACATAGTGAATACTGTTACTATATGTCCAGGTATGGCTTACCTGAGAGTTATTTTAGAGCTGTTCTGGTGAGCCCAACTTTCGAAGGTGCTTATCGGATTAACTGTGCGCTAGACTCGGCGCTAGCCAGAGGTGTGTATTTTTACTTTAATATTTTGTATGAGATAAAATGTCATAGTATATTTTGTCTTTTCCCTGCAGCCATCAAGATGTCAGCTATATTTGTTATAAAAAGCAAGGTTGTTACATGAATATTGCCACTGTTGTTCAGAAAATACATTTCTATGAATTGAGAATGCTTTTCTTGTGTTTTTTTGCCATCATTGTTTTGTCGTAAAACGGGGGCGACCCACCCACACACAACGTCGTGCAAATGACATATACATAAAAAGCACCACGCGGAAGCAAGTTCAATAATGGTCAAAAACCATAAGCCTTTGAGATTGCATGTTTGGTTCCAAATGAAAGTGTCCTTTGACATGCGTAACTGTAACTGCGTAAATTGGAGGTTGAATTAATCCAACCTATAATTAATTACACATGACTGAATTAATTTATGAATTTACCACAAAATGCATTTGTCAAAGAGTAACATGATATGCGCAGGAATTTATATTCAACCTTCAGTCTGCAAAGGAATGTGTCCTCCTCAGATCATCTTGCTCTGCACATCCTGGCTCGACCAGGGATCGTAACTCTGCAGGACGAATGACGGCTCCACGTTTGGTCTGACAGTGTCCTTGTATATATTTAGAAAGAACAAGGTCGTCATCATGAAGCTGACACACGTTTAAGTAATTTATTCAATAATCGATGTCTCGGTGATCAAAGTATGACAAGAACACACGATTTTAAAAAGCTATTTTCATATCATTCTATTCATTCATTCCTTACAGATGACAGCTCCAAACACCAAAGTGAAAATTACTAAACTCAGCATTCAGTCATCAGGTGAACGCCGCCAATAGAGGACCACCATTTACACTTTACGGTAGTTATACGAGAATGCAGATTACACCCCTGCATGGCCATCGAACAATATCACATCGTTATTAAATCATTATTGAACGTGCTTTTGTTATCTGTAGCTGTTCAACTTTTCTTATTTTAAGGTCGCAGTTTTTGTGACGATAGCACAAGGATGTGTTTATTTACCATGACATATTACACGGTGGCCAATACATTTACGTCGCCAAAGTGGTTAACGTCACCACTAGATGTTTTCAACCACCATGCTGCTCACACGCTGTGATGTTTCTGGCATACTTAAATTCGGACTACAACCCTACTCCCTTAAGGCCGCCGCTACAAAGTTCCAATTGTGAAAACTAAGAGAGCCCGTACATCCTTTATTCCAAGTACCATATCTCTCTTAAACAAATGTGAAGATACCTAAATCAAAGAATTTATGTAAATATTTTTGGTATCTCTCAAATGTGTCAGCAGCTCTGCTGATGTAACACAAATTCCTGAAAAGGCATTAAAGTATTATTCTATTCTATTCTATTCTATTCTATTCAATTCTATTCAATTCTATTCTATACTATTGCAATAAGGTGTCTCGTTCATTCAAAAAGTTTAGATTAACAGGATCCTTTTCCTGGAGAAACTGCCTCCGAAATGTGAAAGGTTTGTCGAGACTCTTGTCATCACTGGCGGAACAAAGGACCAGGCGATGTCCTTCTTGTAGCTCATGAATAACAGGCAATCCGTAGCCCGGATGAGTGGATAACCCCATGCTAAGCCCACTCCGGAGCAAATTGAGTTACCATTCCATCTGATCTCAACACGTGTATCTGCATAGACCCCCACAACAAGGAACCCCTCGGCTTGACACGTGACCAGTTGAGGTTATTCAGCTCAGTGGCCTTTCACATTTTGTCTTGCGAATGACTGCTCGGGACATCAAAGAGTGCAGTCACAATCAACCCTAATTTCTTTCCCGAAGAGGTCGGTAAAATGCGACCTTTTCAATCTTGTTGTGACCAGGCGAAAACAGGGCTATTAACTTGATGGTTCAACATGCCCTTTCAATGTCTGGGGCAAAAATGATTTAACCGTGTTTAAGGTCTATCTGTAAAAGGTACGGCTTTGAACGTCTTGCCTTTTGGCTTGAAGGTAATTGTGTAGAGCCACGGCTC